AGCACATAATTAGGAGAGATTTCCTAGAGATTGGTAGACTTGGAAGTTGAGAGGTTATACAGGGCAGTGCCTTGCTGTCCTCCCAGTGATGATTGCTGCTTGGGTAGTTTTCAGATAAGTTAGTCTAACCCAACTTCATTTGGGTCAGTTCTGGTTGGATAGAACTGGGGAGTCAGGTGGGAAGGGCAGAGAGGTGGATGTTTAACTGATACCTCCAAATCTTTAAAGTCTCAGAGCTAATGACAGGAGCAGGAAGAAGGAATAATACTAGTATTAAATATTAATTTTCCTTCAAAATTTCTACTGCCACTTCTCTGAAGAGTTGAGAAACCTGGAGAATCTAGAGTGATATTTTGGCCCTGTTGCTATAGCTCTTTGACTCTTTCCTTACAATAATGTTTTAATTTATTAGAAAAAGTAATTACTGTAGGCAGTGGATGTAGAAATGGCTATTAATTAAAAAGCTTCCTTAGGTCATTGTTAATTTTATTTGTCAGGATCTGCTGAATAATGATTGGGCAAGTGCTTCTTAGATGTTTTCTCTGAGCCATCCTCTGGTTTAGTAATTGGTTCTCAAGTTAGAAGGAAAAGTTTGGGGGATGAACTTATTTTTTCCCCCAGCAAGTCTCACTTTGATTAAATAATTATTAGGAAAAAAATTCCTTGTTTATGTCTTTGTATCACACATTCACATATATGTATATGTGTGTGTATATATAGATATTTATATATTCATAGACATTGATGGAGTTTGGATGTGTTGTCCCCTCCAAAACTCATGTGGAAATTTGATCCCCNTTAAGAGTTTATTTTTAGGAATGTCTTGCCCTTAAATGTTTCAAATATAGTTTAGATATAGTGCCCAAGGTGGAAGGCTACATAACCTGGACTTCAGGTGTTCATTCTTTTACATCTGGAAGGCTTACATACTCAGGAATTTGGAGGCTTTATAAGAGTCAAGGGAGAGGTTATTCAGCTTTCCCTGACTGTCCAAGAGAAGAGAAAACTTGCAACTTCAGATTGTGAGCCCTTATTGTGAACTTGAGGCCTTTACATTCATATTAACTGGCCTACCCTTTGAATTCCACGCAGAACTGAACAGATTTTCTTATTCTGTATCTTTTTTCTTTATCTTGTCCATTATGATAAATATATACATATATATTTATGAGGGTACTTCAAAAAGTTTGTGGAAAAATGAAATTAAAAGATAATACAAGTATTTCCACAAACTTTTTGAAGACCCCGCAAGTGTGTGCATCTGTGTGTGTATACACATGTATATATATTTATTTCCTCTTGTCACAATTTGAAACGAGGGAAGAAAATTATTTGGTTAGCACATAATTAGGAGAGATT